GGTGCATATGATCCTAATATGTCTAGTGTTCCACTATTCGTCGCCAGTCTTACCTCTTTGTGATTTCTGGATGATTGATCATAGCTATACAATACATATTTCGAATGCACGAGGTTTTTTACTATATACAGGGTGTCAATTTGAAAACTTCCCACCCTCAATATCTCCCTCCAAGTCGATAATATGGAAAAACGAAAAGACAGGTCGATTTTATTTTCGAGGGGGACATGGTTCTAAAATATTTTTAGCCCCGCGGCGTTGCCGCTTCTAACGAAAAGAAGCAACAACTTTGCTATTTCAAATGGAACACCCTGTATTTTATTGCATTTTTAGATTCTCACTGAAAAGCTGATTTCATCAATGTATCACACTTGGGGTTTAGCAGGAATGATTACAGAGATATAGGGTGTTTAAAATCGAGATTTTACAACTTTAGGATTTTTTTGAGTCGAAACTATTCATTATTGGTCAAAACGGCTTCCATGTCCCTATCTCAACTTTTGATTTACTATCTACTGACATTTATTTGAAACAAATACAGGGTGGTTCAAGATTCAGACTTTTGATCACCCTGTATTTGTTTCAAATAAATGTCAGTAGATAGTAAATCAAAAGTTGAGATAGGGACATAAAAGCCGTTTTGACCAATAATGAATAGTTTCGACTCAAAAAAATCCTAAAGTTGTAAAATCTCGATTTTGAACACCCTATATCTCTGTAATCATTCCTGCTAGACCCCAAGTGAGATACATTGATGAAATCAGCTTTTCAGGGAGAATCTAAAAATGCAATAAAATACAGGGTGTTCCATTTGAAATAACAAAGTTGTTGCTTCTTTTCGTTAGAAGCGGCAACGCCGCGGGGCTGAAAATATTTTAGAACCATGTCCCCCTCGAAAATAAAATCGACCTGTCTTTTCGTTTTTCCATATTATCGACTTGGAGGGAGATATTAAGGGTGGGAAGTTTTCAAATTGACACCCTGTATAAGGTTATCATTTTCCAGAGAAAAATGTATGTTATTTTTTATAGTATACCTAGCTAATGACAGGTGAATAAGTCACTGATGACAAGTGAACAAGTCACTTATGATATGTGATTAGGTCACTAATGACAAGTAAACAAGTCGCTAATGACAAATGAATAAGTCACTAATCGAAAATGAACAAGTGAATGAGCCACAAATGACAATTGAATAAGTCACTAATGACAAGTGTTGTGTTCACTCATGATAATCTTTCTAAAATTAAATGGAACAGATTAATAGTGGTAGGTGTACATTTTTAAGAACACGAATATTCTTGTGGTTATCAACTTTATTTCTTGTCCCAAATACTATACAAGTTTTCACTTGCCACTATTGAATATTCACTTAGGGTTAGTGATTGTTTTTCCTCCGTGCAGTCAGAGATTTTTCACATCGATAAATTTCTGATTTTATGTGATATCTTCTCAATATTGAATCGTTGTTCCTCCTGTCACAGAAAAAAAATAGTGCATTATAAACGGAAGAATATAAAATGTTGAGTCTTGGTTTTTTTATATCCCTGTCGACCACAAGCTGAAATCTAATACATTTTTCTATTGTATTATAAATAACTATTTTCCGTCACAGAAAAAATATGATTCGGATATAAATTGCGTTGTAGAGAAAGTATAGTGATTAACTCGTCAAAAACATGTTTTGAAGTTCGTGAACTTTACCATCCTTCATTGTGATGAATTTTTATGCTTTTGCATCTGCAGGTGGTATAAGATGTTCTAGTTAGGAATATATGTAGATAATAGGTACTCATTCTCTAATGCCCTGTAGGTATCGGCTTTAAGCACCTGTTATATTATGATTTTATATTTATCAAGGGAAAAATCCACGATGGAAATCAAAAAATCAAATATTTCTTAATGGAATGTCTTTTATTTGTCTTCAATAAATAATTTTCTGTACACCAGGAGAAAACAAATAGTGCGATAACACAGTCAGTAAAGTTTGTTTGCCTTATCTATTCTATACACAAATCTACTTTCAACTATTTACACATATACACTTCTATATCTTCATTTATTTACAGCATACTCAGAAGAAACAACCTCCACACAGGTATAAATACTATTGTGAACTGTTCTCATTGAATTATTGAGAACACAATAATTATTGACTAGATTTTTCGACTTATTGAATCTTGCTTTCAAAACTGGTACTTACTGCAGTTTTCATGACTATTATATCTACTTGAGGAAAACTATTTCTGAAAATAAATGAAATGTCGATTGCAACGGAAATTTGCCTGAAATAGGATGTTATTTTTACTTTCAGGATTGAAAAATGTCCTTTAGTTCTTCCAACAGGAACTTGCTGAAGTGACTCATCTGATCCCAAGAGACTGAAAGTGTAGGTATGGTATACAGGGTGAGTCATTGAAACGGGAAAGTGAGATAACGGCTTTGCTGTTTGAGATAGATGAATGAAAATGTTTGTGATGGTCTAGGCTCATGAGAAGCATATTTCTGAATTACTATGCGTATACAAGGTGACTAAAATATCCGTGGCGTATCAAAGTTAAACTTTTTATTATAGAACACCCTCTATTCTATTGCATTTTCAGATTCTCCTTTGTAAGCTGATTCCATCAATGCATCACACTTGAGATCTAGCGGGAATGATTTCAGAGATATAGGGTGTTCAAAATCGAGATTTTTCAACTTAAATTTTTTTTTGTGTTGAAACTATCAAGTATTGGTCAGAACGACTCAAATGTCCCCATCTTAACTTTTGATTCACTATCTACTGATATTCAATTCAGACGAATACAGGGTAGTTCGAAATTCAGAATTATGAACCACCCTGTATTCGTTCGGATTAAAAATCAGTAGAGCGTAAATCGAAAGTTAATATAGGGACATATAAGCCGTTTTGACCAATGATGAATAGTTTCAAGACAAAAAAAATCCCATAGTTGAAAAATCTCGATGAAATCAGTTCACAATAAAGGAGAATCCGAAATTGCAATGAAATACAGGGTATCCCATCCCATAAGGAAAAGTATTACTTTGATACGTCACGAATTGTTGAGTCAACCCCTATAGCGAAAAATATCTTGTGAATGTGCTGCTCATGAGCCTAGACCATCACAAAAATTTTTGTTCATCTATCTAAAACAGCGAAGCCGTTATCTCACTTTCCTATTTCAATGACTCACCCTGTATAAAGCAAACTAACAAAATGAAAAGATAAGTAATGTTGGTGATAATTTTTCCGAAAGTACAAAGAATACTGAAGAGTCCTCAGAAAATAAATCCAACTCGCGGGATTAAATGAATCACTTTGGCCCCGATGTATATAATAATCTAATAACAGCAGAAGAGCATTTCGAACTAAAATAAGAAGTATAATTAAAACATTATACAAAATTAGGTACGTAATGAGAGTGACAGCTGATATATCATTTTATTGAATAATGGCTACTGAAAATCAGGAGGTTGACAGCTGATCTGATGATTATTATCAGTTAACCAAATACGTAGAGGTACCATTTGATGATCATCATTCAAATTATTTATAATCGACACGTGGTAACTGATCAAATTGTCACGTAAACATCAAAAACCAAGGCTTATCTCAGTCCCAAAGTTCGCACCTAGTAGAGCAATATTACTAATTTTTGATAACAATTATTTCGAAAGCAATGATAACAGAAATATACATCAGTCATCCCGAAAAATGATCAACTTTTTAATATCAAACGAAAAATTAAAGGAACATGAAAATATTCATAATATTCGGAAAGTGTCAAAATAATAGTAGTGGCTTTATGCAGATTAATCATGAGAACTGAACTATTTACTAAACAAGAACATATTCTGTCCAACATTGATTCAATTATAGTAAAATTGAAAAACTAGCTTCAACCATAGAAAAAGCTCGTATGTTTTCATAACCCAAATAATCTGCATATTCACTACTTTCAGAATTTTCATGATTGTTTTATGATCTATTGAGATGTTCCATAATACAGGGTGTTAACAAATAAGTGTCACAACGGAAAACTGAAGATTGCTCATGACAAAAGAAACATTTTGTCCCTTTTCGAACATTTTCTCAGGGCTTCCGTTATCAAGATACAGGGCGTCAAAAAAATACAAAAAAATATGTTTTTTGCTACTATCTCAGGAACCGTTTGAGCTACGGAGTTAAGCCTTCGTACACACTTCATCATCAATAATGACTACTTTTAGGGCTCTTGATCAATTTCCTTGAACATGTCAGTGAAGGAGAATTCAACGCCTCGTGAGGGTTTAACCCCCCAAACATTTATGCCACTGGAGAAATTTTAATTTTCAAAGAAGATTCTGAAGCGCCAATATCTTTCACACATAACATACACATAAAGTGAACAGTTTTCGAGAAAAATGGCTCTTCATGAATAAGAACATACAAAATCTTGATGGTATCTCCAAAAATCGTCTAAAAATCCACTGTAAATAAACACCTCAGAACTGTCTGAGAATAGGTTCAATCAAATGTCAGGTTCTTGAGTATGCTGGTCTCGATGCTGGTTTTCAAATTGTTAAGTTTATTAAGCGTTGTAAAGTGTGTTTAATTAAACTGAACATTTTCGATTTTTTGACACCCTGTATCTTGAAAACGGAAGCCCGGAGAAAAATATTGAAGAGGAAAGAAATGTTTCTTTCATTATGAGGAATCTACAGTTTTCCGTTGTGACACTTATTCGTTAACACCTTGTATAACAAATCAGATGGAGGCGTTCATGCTTTTCCCCTTTTTTCAGTTCTGTATCAATTTTCGGGATACTCCGTATAATATAATAATTGTTTAACCTAAAAAATGATATGTTCACCACCACACCCTAGGCTGATGTCCATAAAGCAATGGGTGAGTACTAGGGTGTGTACCCATCATCATGGGTCCTGGCAAAGGCATATTCTCCGGTTTTTGATTGCCACCCAAGCAAGGTTTTCCATCTTTCACGAGTACTGGAACCGCTACCCTTCTTGGGGAGGGCATGGGGTTGCTTTGGTGGTCGTGCATCCCTTTTTCGTGCTGTGCCCTTTTGGTCTTGTATCTGAAATGAATGAGAGTTATTAGTATAGACCAATGAAAAAAAAACACTTTGTATCAATATAGGTAAAAAACTTTGATGATCATACTGTCTGTAGGTTAATCGAGGAGGTGGTATATTCATTTTACTTGATTTTTGGGATTTTTTCTTCTCGTAACTATAAAATAAAAATATTCTCATTATTTCAATATACAGGGTGTCCCTAGACCAGTGGGACAGTTGAATATCTCCTGAACCAATAGGAATTTTCAAAATATTATAATCTCACATTATATCGCATTATGAGTGCTATGTATTTGTAGTAAGACAAATCAGATGATTTGCCCCAAAATGTCACTGCGTTTAACAAATTTTTCAGGGAGCTTGCCATTCAAAGTGTCACTGACAAGTTGGATTTTTCTTTTAGGCTCCCTGATAGAGGAATTTGTTAAACGCAGTGACATTTTGGGGCAAAGCATCTGATTTGTCCAACTACAAATACACTCAGTTCCAAAAAAAGTGACGCACTTGATATTTGACCTATCTTCTTACAGAAAAAAACGAAAAATAGTAGGCCGATTTTCATTTTCTTTCTATTTGTTGGTAGGTTATGCATTTGTCTTTAAAAAAATTAAGAGGTGACAATTTTTTCAAAGCCTCCTTGATGGTGGTGGAATAACTCGAACCATGATTTATTCTTAATTTTTGACTCACTCTGTGTGTCAATTGAGTAATGGTATACAAAGTGCTTACACCCTATATGAAAGAGGCGAGCATTTTGTTTTTTTATTCATTGATTTATCTCTAAAATTTTCCGAATTACAGCTTTTTTGCTGATACCTTACGCTTATCCCACAAATTAAATTTATTAAAGGATCAGAGTTCTCAAAATTGATTGGGTTGTACTCTGGTACGATCACATTGTCTTAAAAACAAACAAATTCCGTTGCCATAGCAACTAATTTGTTGTATGCCTCCATATTTGACCATTTGTCGTTGTGTCATTAATTGTCTTGTTTTATTGACTAAAATTACATAAAATGCCTCGAATAAATCCAGAACAAGTAGCAAGATTAGTTGATGTTGCAGTAAGTAAGCAGACGGTATGTAGACGTCTAAAAGAAGTTAATTCAAAAGCTAGGAGACCTGCAAAAGGTCCCAAATTATTGCCCGAACATCGTGCTGCTAGAAGAAATTTTGTTGAAAATTATGGACAGTGGAATATTCCTGAATGGTCGAATGTCTTGTTTACGGATGAGTCGAAGTTTTGCCTTAACATGGTGGATGAAAGAAAAAGAGTGTGGAGAAGAACTGGTGTACGGTTTAATCAAAATTTAATAACAGAATGCGAAAGTTTAGATAGAAGTAGATTAGAAGTTCTTGGAGTTGCTAGAGGAGGCAATACACGGTATTAAGCAGTCATCCCAATTTATAATTTTGTGTCTAATAAAAATGTTTTTTAAAATTATTGGTATCAGTTTATTTCATTAGAAAATTGTTTCTCGATAAATTCAGAAAGTTGGTAATCTGCAAGGATTCAGCAAAAAAAGCTGTAGTTCGGAAAATTTTAGAGATAAATCAATGAATAAAAAAAATGCTCGCAAAAGATGCCTCTTTCGTATAGGGTGGCAGCACTTTCTATGCCATTACTCAATTAACACACAGGGTGAGTCAAAAATTAAGAATAAATCATATGGTTCGAGTTATTCCACCACCATCAAGGAGGCTTTGAAAAAATGTTCACCTCTTTATTTTTTTTAAAGACAAATGCATTACCAACAAATAAAAAAAAATCGGCCTACTATTTTTTTTGTTAGGAATATCAAGTGCGTCACTTTTTTTGGAACTGAGTGTATATTGAAATAATGAGAGTATTTTTATTTCATAGAAACGAGGAGAGAAAATCCCAAAAAATAAAGTTTGATGATCATATTGAAATATCGAATTGTTGTTTGCTTCAGAATATTATATAGGTAGCAAGATGATATACTTTTGAATATTATCTATACTATATTATTAAGAGTATCTACCAAATTCATATTATCGTTCAATTGTAAGTACTTGTAGATAATCTTGTATCATAAAAATCACGAGTTTTATTAGTTTGTGTAGCGTGAGGCACTCAGATTCCGTTTAAGACTAAACACCAACTATACAGGATGTCGGTGCGCCAATATACAAGTTGTCCCAGAACAATGTGCAATTCATTCTACAGGGTGAACTAGGTTGATTGAAATCAACTTACATCCATACAAAAATGCACCATTGAGCCGTGAGAGGACAATGAAAAACAAATTTTTTCGTGACGGGAAAAAAGTTGTAAATTTCATCTCAGTTGACAGGTTATAAAATGTCACTTTTCATGAATTACTTTTCTTCCAAGGGAAAAAAGTGGGTACTTCTTTCCCGGATATATATCACATATTATATATACACTGTTGATTGCATTTGTTGTGCTATAGTTCCGAAAAATAAATAAGCCTTTGAAGGATATTGAAAGTATCGTTTTTGTTATTCAGTGGCATTTCTTTGTTTGCCTACTGAGGAAGTATCCCTGGGATGTTTCGTTATGTTTTGAGAATGTTGATATGAAAATGTTTTTTGAGACGTGTGTGTTGTTTTTACGTACCTAGATACTTACATTTTAAGGCATTTTATAATTTTATACATAATTATTTTAAACAAACATGTACTGTATTTTGACCTTAACAAATTCTATACCTAAATTAGGCCTTTTGAATGAATAAAATATTTGATTTGATTTGATTGTTTTTGTTCTTCTGTGGCATTTCTCTGTGTGCCTACAGAGAGGTATCTCTGGGAGTTTCTGAGATGTTTTAAAAATGTTGGCATGACGATGTTTCTTTGAGACTTAATATGCACTTCCCAAAGAGGAAGTATTGTTTTCGTTCTTTCACAACGTCTAAAATGCTTACGTCAGCATACGATAAATTCTGATTTGTTTCCGATTTCGTTGTTCTCGTTCGCATTCGCGTTTGCAGCTTCCTTTCATTCCATCATTACCAACGACCTCAAATCACCACGATATCACACCCGTGACTCGAAATGAGAGTTCCACTGAAATCACAATGACTGCTATTTCCGACCCTTTTGGTCATTCTATGTTCACATTATGACCTCATTCAACAACAAAATTGTTTGGTTTGGTTAGTTATATAAATAGACAAGAATGTGAGTTTTCTGTGAGTCTCTTGGTTGTTAGGGAACCTCACAAATTCACCTACATTTTGAGTATCAAATCAAATGAAATGTTACGAAAATCGCGGATGTTTTCTAAAATCAAGAGTCCCCTGGCAATACCAATGATGTTTCCTTGTAATTCGCATTGTTACCTAGCGAGACGTGAATGTGACATCTCAGGGATGTTTGTGTTTACTGGGCAAGGATATCTTTATAAACGCCGCCTGCGGTGGACTTTGGCTGTTCTATGAAAGTTCTATTCATGTGTGAACAGAACATCGACATCTCGTTCTTTTGATATCTCTGAGATTTTTTTGTGCTCGCTGGGTGGGAACCCAGTAAGAATACTCACAGGAATAGGAGCACTCACCGATGATTCTGGAACCAAATCTTGACCTGCGTGGGCGTCAGCCTGATGATGGAAGCCAGGTGTTCCCGTTCCGGCGCAGACAGGTACCGCTGCTGCCGGAACCGCCTCTCTAGCTCGTAGGTTTGGCTCTTCGAGAACAGCACCCGCCTCTTGCGCTTCTTGTGTGACGTGCCTTGCCTGCAAAGATAGCGATGTTGTTGATACCCATACTAAACATGCAAACATGACTTAAACAAAAATCAACTAGGAGAAAGCCAATGCAATGGTTACAAATAGAGAGAAACTCAAAGTCATAGTTCATAAAATAAAATCGCAAGTGTTTCCTTCCTAAACGCCGAGTTGCGCCTAAGTGGTTCAGGAACGCATGACTACCTGCAGACCGGTTTCGAGCTGTTGGCTCTCATCAGTAACTATTGTGGTAATGACTTTGAGTTTCTCCCTATTCATTGAACAAAAATGTTATATTACATTGTTATTGTTACTTTGTGAAGTTATTCAGAGAGATGCTTAATGTCACAGATACGTTGCTGCGGCAATGTCCCTTTGTACAGGGTGATTCACCATAAATTTCCCCTCCTTTAGCTCCCTTATTTTTAACCGAATTAAAAATTTGAAAAATCATTTTAAATGATTTTTCAGAAATTTTTTCCCGTTGCATCAGAAAATACAGGTTGCTCGGAACGAAAGATCTACAGAGTACTACTTGATTTTTTCAAATGGAACACCCTGTATTTCTTTGTATTTTTAAATTCTTCCTAAAGATTTCATCAATATATCACACTTGGGGTCTGGCGGGAATGATTACAGAGATATAGGATGTTCAAAATCGAGATTTTTCAACTTTAGGATTTTTTTGTGTCGAAACTATACATTATTGGTCAAAATGGCTAAAATATCCATATCTCAACTTTTGATTCACTATCTACTGACATTTAATTGGAACATATACAGTGTGGTTCAAGATTCAGAATTCTGATCACCCTGTATCTGTTCCAATTATTAAATGTCAGTAGATAGTAAATCAAAAGTTGAGATACGGACATGGAAGCCGTTTTGACCGATAATGAATAGTTACGTCACAAAAAAATCGTAAACAAGCGTGATACATTGATGAAATCGGCTCTGCAGGGAGAATCTGAAAATACAATGAAAAATAGGGTGTTCCATTTAAAAAAAATCAAATAGTACCCTGTAGATCGTTTGTTCCAAGCACCTTGTATTTTCTGATGTCGAGAAAAAAAACTCTATAGAAAATCATTTTAGATGATATTTGAAATTTTGCAATCAGTTCAAAAATAACTGAGCTAGTGGGGGGGGGACATTTATGGTGAATCACCCTGTACCTCTTTTGAATATATTTCAATGTTATGTTGATGGTGAATATTATATAAATATATCAGGAAATCCATATTACTTCATAACGTATATTCAATGTTACTCAACACATCTAAATAATATTGTATAATAACATGCGAATTGATTTCTATTTTCAGAGTTGTGAGGTAAAAACGATTTGTGACAGTGGACTAGTTTGGTTCTTTGAACTAACTAAATGAAGTTATTCACTGAAACAGCCCTATTCCTGTGGTTTCAATAAAAGGCGTCTAGATAAGTGTCATTCAAGTCGGCATCGTATCGGAAAAACTTTTAATCAAAATTTATTTCGGAATTTGACTTGGGCGTTGAGTTAATTATACTTTAAAAAATAAGAAAAATTGACTACTCGGTCGGAGTCACGTGACATTCGCTACATATCAGTTACATTTTCTCAAATTATATTCTCTGAAAAATCATTTGTTCGAATTTTAAGAAAGTTTACTAAACAAAGTTGTTTCTATTCCAATTGCTACGAAATGTCTCAGATATTAAAAAAAATTACTCCGACAAACCTATTTCATTTTAGTAACTTTATCATGCTACTAACTTTCAATCACTGATTATCGACAGAAATACGATTTTCTTCAGAAAATAATAATCCTCGCTTGCTTGATGCAAAGTTGATGTATTTTCTTTCAGTCAGGAGCGAAATTTATTCAAATACCTAGATTCTTTTCAGTCCTTACTAAAATGATGCCAAAGTCATCGATCAAAATATCGTCAAACTATTTTACGCATCTACTTGAGTTTTACTTTTGTTGAAGGTACAACAATTAGAAGGAATCAAAAAATTCCAACAGCTAAAAATTGGAATATATATAGTGCGTTAAAATTTGAGACACATGTTTGAATTTTGGGATAGAAACAACTTTTCTCGGTGAACTTTCTTGAAATTCGAACAAATAATCTTATTTTCAGCGACTGATTTGAAACAATGTAACTTTTGGCATGTAGTGAATGTCAGGTGTAGGCCATTTACCATATTTTTTGAAGCAAAACTCAACGTCCAAGTCGAATTTCAAAATACAATTTCATCAAGAGTGCTTTCAATATGATGCCAACTTTATGAATGACACTGTGTATCAGTCGAACACCTAAATCAGACTGAACCATAATGAATATTGCACTAGATAGTTGCATAAATATGTCGAGAATTGTGTGGCACCAATATCATCGCCTATTACTTCTGCACAATATAATTATTGTACAATTCTCAAAACTTTGGAACCATCCCTCGTATATAACCATCCCAACGAAATACAATCCTGATGTATTCAGAAAAATATTCTCAAATATATTATGAACATGAAAAAACATTGATACATACAAAAGAAATAGATTGGGAATTCGCATTCTCTATCTGATAAAAAATATTAATTCTCTATCGGTATATTCAACTACACCAACATTTTTGCGCATTCACTTGCTGAAAATTCCACTCTGGATTCATCGGGAAAACAACCTCCAAACATAACGCTAATTGACAGTCATATGCCCGAGACATAGATCTAAATACACACCCGAGATCACCATTTGCCAACGTACTATAAGGAAGATTTTATTGGGTCTCAACACCAACAAAGCTTGTGGGTCCGACGGAATCCCACTGATTGTTCTCAAGAAATGTGCTCCCGAACTAACACCTGTTCTCTGCAAGTTTTTCAACTACTCTTACAAACTGGGGATATTCCCGTCCAACTGGAGAATTGCAAGAGTACAACCAGTTCCTAAAAGAAGCAAAAAGACCCTACCTAGCTACTACCGACCAATCGCACTGCTATCTATTATTTCAAAGATCATAGAGAAAGCAATCAACATCGAGCTCATAAAATACCTGGAACATTCAAGTTATATCAACGATAGACAATATGGCTTCCGTCATCAGAGATCAACTGGTGACCTGCTCGCTTACGTCTCACATATATGGCAGCAATCTATTGAAAAATATGGTGAAACCTTAGCCGTGGCACTTGATATCTCCAAGGCATTCGATCGAGTCTGGCACCACGGACTCCTCGCCAACTTTCTATCTCATGGCTTGCCTTTCCAGATATGTTCTCTCTCAAACAGGTCTCTCCATGTAGTGGTCGACGGAGTTTCATCTGACTTTTTTAACGTAACACACTATTTCTACTCCATATCAACGATTTGTTGGAAGCAACTTCATGTCCAGTACACATCAGCTTCGCGGATGATAATACCCTCCATACCGCCTTCTCTTCCAGGGTTCCAATACCAGCCAGGCAAATCAGAAAGGAAAACGAAAACGAAAAAAAAAACACAAGCATGCCTTTTTTCTAGAAAAGCCGATCTTACTGGTGCCCAACTCACGTGAGATCAATTGCTGAAAGTGCGTCCCAAAAACTTGGTATTCTGTTTCGGGCCAGGAGCTATTTCACTTCCAGTCAGCTGCTTATGATCTATGAGCCTCAGATCCGACCTGTCCTGGAATACACTCACTTCTCTGGAACACCGTAGAAAAGTTGGCGATCTGGATCTATTTTATAGATATTTCCATGGACGATGCTCTTCTGAAATATCAACATTTGTTCCTCCTATCCCTGCCAAAAATACCTTATGAAGTCTCATGAAGAAATATAGATAAAATATGAGTATTAATAAGGATATATAACCGAGTTCTGTAGCGTATGAGTACATTATCTCTGGCACATGAACTTTCTAAAAGGTTTGATGATATTTCATGAGTATATGTGATTTATAAGCGTATACAAATATGGAGTATGAGAGTTTTTATCAGGCACAAGTGGTTTGAGGAGCCTATGACCACCAATAAGATATTCCACTTCCAATTGGAAGAGTATTCTATGCACATTCATGCGCCTTAGTATATATGAGAAATGTGTAGAAATTCACTAATAGAATTCTATTGGGTATCGTCAGGAAAAAATATATCAGGATTTTAGAGTTTCACTAAGGAATTCCTTATCTAATTTAATGCGATTTCTATCAGCATTCATGTGACTCAGAATAACTGAGAATTTACGAGTTTCAATTAGACAATGAATGCCTAATCTGAAATGTGTCCAATGAGTGTTTATAAGACAACTAGTTTCTAGGTTTATGAGCTCAAATATGAAAACACGGTTCTAAAATTATAGGTTTCTTATCAGCTTGAATCCGGTAAATAATTATTGAGTAATCATAAGTTTTTAAAAGACAATATAGATATAATCTTCAACGTATTTCATGGGGTTTTGTGAGGGTGAAAAGTGTTCGATAAATTATGATATTCAATAGGGAACTGCTGCCATGATTCTATCGGTTGCTGATGAGTTTGTATGTGGTATATGTGGTTTCAAGTATTCGAGATTTCTTATAAGCAATTACTGATCTATAATGAAACGTATCTTATTAGTCAAGCTGAGGTAAGATGTGTTCCAGAATTCATGAGTGTTGATAAGGATTTACCGTTATAACTGTATTCGTATGTTATGATGTTTCATGCGTTATTTCTGTCTAAGAATTCTGGACAATACATGCCTAATCTGAATGTTATCTAATAAGTTTGTATGAGATGTGTTAGTTCTGAGGATTTTTGGGGTTTGAAAAGACATTACTGATTTGAAACGGAATGTATCCTATGGGTCATGCTGAGGCTTGATGTGTATCAAAACTGATGGGTGTTGATAAGGGTATACCATTATGACTCCAATGGTATTTTGAGAGGTTTTATGCGGGATTGCTGTATAAGGATTCAAGATTTTAGATTAGACAATACATGTCTGATTCGAAATGTATCTGATCATTTTTTATGAGATATGTATCTCATGAGGAAATGT